TTGCAACTGGCTTCATCCCATCTATCGCTAAAAATTCCTGGCAGGCCAGTCATCTGCAAATTAATTTGGCTAATGGCTTGGTGACACTTTATCAATTCAGGAGGTAGATGAATAGCTTTAGTAATATTTTTTATTAATTGAACTTGCTAAAGCAATGCTACAAAAAACATGAACCTTTGCTGCAGATTGGCACAGTCCCAAGTCTTATCTCAGCACCTGTTCACACAGGTATTTTAGAGTTGCTATTTTCCAAGCACCAGCCATGAATAGCAGATCCTGCTCACAATAACTACAGAAAGTAGCCTGAGACTGATTAAAGAAAATGATTAAATTGCTCTAGCAGTAGCGTCCCTTAAAACAGGGATTGGAAGTCTGTATTTACTTATTTTGGGGGGAAAAAATAAAACTCAATGAGTAAGAAACTGACATGTTTTTTCTTGCCTCCCTGCTATTCTCTATACTATTTGTTAATGGCTTGATGTTTTTAAAGCAAACAAACAGTGAAATAATACTGTATTAAGAAAGAAAGAAACAACCAGATTAATTGGCTCAAAGGAAAATATGATTAACAACAATGTTTTTCAAGTTGGCAACTTTTAATATGTGTGGACTTCAACTCCAGAATTCCCAAGCCAACATCTTCTAAGAGTTGAAGTCCTCGTATCTTAAAGTTGCCAAGTTTGAAAAACACTAATCTAAAAAATGTTTTCTCAGACTTGTTCTTGGGTTTGAGACAGTGACAGATAACTTGTATGGGCATTACCTTGCTATTTTCTTGATATTGAAGCAGTGCCACTGTTTGGTGGGGGGAGATGGATGAACTATCTGTCCAACTTTGCCTGGGCTCAGAAACTAGGCATGGTTGGGACCCGCTCCATGCAAGAATGGCAGATCTTCAAGGAATACCAAGCATATTAAGTAGCCTGGGAATTCAAACAAATATCTTCGAAATAGGTGAGGTTCCAGACAGTTGCCAATAAATCTGCATAGAGTTGGTTATGAAGTCAACCAGAATCAAGTTAACTAAAAGAATTGTGGTTTTATCATTTGGAGGAGATTTGGACATCATTTAAGAGATTAAAGATTCAGATTTTCAATTTGTTCTTTCTAGAAATTTGTTGTTTTAATGGAATTTATCTTGGTTAAGTTTGAACGATTCATGTTTAAAGACTTGTTTATAGATATAAGACATGAGAAGAAAAGTTTTAAAGAAAACGACAAGTTATCAGGTAAAGTGCAGGAAAGAATTATGAAATCGATTTACTAGGCAAAAGTATGTACTCTTAATACATTTTTGTTGATTAAGATTGAAAGATGAGATTTTATTATTTGCCAATAGATAAAAGATGAAATGTGGGATGAAGAAAGTTTTGGTTGAAATATTAGCGAAGTATTAAGCTATTGAAAATGTTTATACTTCTCTTGTTGAAAGGGAAAGTTATTTCTTCCTATTTTTTCTTTCTTTTTCTTTGTTTTATGGGTATTATCCCCATTCCTCCTTTTTTCTTTATTTCTTGTTTATATTCCACTTTGTATTGTATTTCTTATCTTTATTTTAAACTTCAATAAAAATTATTATATACCATTTTGGGGAAGTGATGATTGGAATCCAGTCATTTAAAATGTTAAAGAAGCTAGAGATGCCCAAATGGTATCAATGCAAAAGGTACTTGTCTATATAGCTTCCCTAATCTAGTCTTCCCAGCAGATTTCTGTCACAACAGCAAGTATTTGTGTCCTTTTTGTAAACCATATTTCTGAAACAGAGAGTCCCTTTGGCTGAAGCCTCTTGAATTTGACAGATGCAATTAGCTAATGAAACCTCTCAGTCTCCCTCTGTTTCAGTTTTTGTTGGATCCTGTTGCTGCCTTCTTGCAATTAGGATGTCTAGAAGCATTTAGGCATCTGGGATCTGGTCCAGCATTCTTGCTGCCAGGATGAACCAGGAGGCAGAACTGAGTAGGGGTGGTTGGCACCCAGAACATTCCTAGCTTTCTACTTGGGCTTCAAGCCCAAAGTTTCATCCTTTGCTTCTCTCAGCAGGTTTTGTAGCTGTTTGTTGACGACAGTTTCAGATTAACCCTGGGGCCCCATGGGAGCCTGAAAAGTCTTCAGGTGTGCTTTCTACTAGGAATGGTGGCGTACTTTTTTACCTGTTTCTTTTGTTAGTTGGCTTCTGGGATGAGGAGAGATGAAGAGTTGTTTTTATGTAGCATCAAACTAATTAACAATATGAAAAAGCAGGTGCAAAACAAATTACGTTTTGAAATATGGAACAATATGTACTGTATATACCCTCCCACTTCTCGTGATTCAAAAGGATTACTAGCAGTATTGATAAAATAACACTTTGCCAAAGTTCACCAAACAACCAAACAAAAAAGTGAGGAAAAATGTCTGGAAATGTATCTCATAATCAAAACAACTGCAAGAAAGTTGGGAAGGTCCCTAAGGTTCTGTCCCATGGGTATTCTACACATCAATATAGCTATTCTACTAGTTAGCTATTATTATTGGTGACAATCAGCCAAATATTTATACTGGATCTGGCATTTTTATCTGTCTATCAAGTTCTTCCCAAGGGCCTGGACCGGCTTTGTTTCATGGTGAGGTATTGATTTGGAGTGTAAGCTATTGCAAGTAGAGCTATCTTTTGCAACTAACTGAGGGTGATTTGATCAATTCCAATGGTGTTCAAGTGGTGCTCCAGATATTTTGACATTGCACTTAAGGAGCTAATTAACTGATAACAGATAACAGATAATCAGAGTTGGAAGGGACCCTGTAGGTCATCTAGTACAACCCCCCACCCAAGCAGGAGACCCTATACCATTTCTGACAAATGGCAGTCCAATCTCTTCTTGAAAGTCTCAAGTGATGGCGCTCCCACAACTTCTGAGGGCAAGCTGTTCCATTGGTTGATTGTTCTCACTGGCAGAAAGTTTCTCCTTATTTCCAGGTTAAATCTCTCCTTGTTCAGTTTCCATCCATTATTCCTTGTCTGGCCTACAGGCACTTTAGAAAGTAGCTTGACCCCTTCCTCTCTGTGGCAGCCCTTCAAATATTGGAAGACCGCTATCATGTCTCCCTTGGTCCTTCTCTTTACTAGACTAGCGAGTTCCTGTAACCGTTCTTCATATGTTTTAGTCTCCAGTCCCCTAATCATCCTGGTTGGTCTTCTCTGTACTTTTTTTAGAGCCTCAACATTATTACTATTAATACTATTTGTGCTTTCTTTTGCCACAGACATTCTGTTTCTATTTGCAGGTCTTATATTTTCTGATTTTTCTCCAGTTCTTTCTCTTTTACAGGTAGTCCTTGGTTTGCAAACATACTTGGACCTGAAATTTCTATTGTTAAGTTAGTGCAGTCATTAGCTGAGTCATCATGTGACCAAACCCAATTTTACAACCATTTTTATAGTGGTCACAAAGTAAACCACTACTGTTATTAAATAAATCATATGGTTGCTGTGAAAAATCCAGCTTTTCCAATTTACATTTTTTTTTGCCAGAAACTGGCTGTGAAGGTTGCAAGTTGGATGCTGCAGCCAGTCATAAATGTGAATTAATTGCTAAGCAATTATAATCATGTGTTGGTGGGGATGGTGAGATGGTCAATTGTGAGAATTGGTAGTAAATCACTTTTTCTGAACGCATTGTAACTATAAACCATGATTCTGCTATAAGTTGAGGACTTCCTGCATTTTGCTATCTCCAGGTACTGCAATGTTCACTATTCGGACTTTTTTGTCTTTCTTTTTGACAATTGTTAAGTCTTTGTGTTATTTGGTAGGTGCTTGTCTTTTGGAATTGAAATGTTCCAGAAACTTTAGCGTCCTCATTTTTTATTATTTTGTTTGTTTTATTATCTCACATGTTTTTACATGTAGGCAAATGGTATTTCTTGAAGATATTCCGATTCACCATCGTTGCTATTTTGTCATGCAGTTGTTTCTACTTGGTCTGTGTGCTCCTCATGCAGCAGCTGTTATAATTAGATGGACTACTGTGTTTTTTTTTCAGCTTCTTTGTGCAGGTAGCATTTGATGAATGTTACTGTCTTCTCAGTTCTGACTTTGTACACATTTGTTCTTAAGGCTTGGTCTTGTACAGCCAGAATTAGCCCTTCTATTTCTTCAATAATCATTATAAGTATGCTGTGATGATATTTTTAACACCATGAAACCTCAACATCTTCCTATCTCAGGTTCTTGCGAAGGGCTAAAATGCTAAATCCAATCTGAGCATAATAATACCGGTAACAATGTCTATTTTACTGACAGTAGTAATTTAGGTTACTTTTACAAGTCATGAGGAAGGACAGCATAATAGGTAACTTTAATCAGACAAGGGGCATTTTTCCTCAAAGGTAATCTATAGGAAGATATACGTAAACAGGCTGAAGCAAACAAGATGTGATGCCAGAAATGAAAGGGAAAAAGATTTCCTCTCTTACACCCCCGTCTGTCTTCCCTCTGTGGCAAACTGAGGAAACAACAGCTACTTTTCACCACAAATTAGAGCCCATTACCTGTAGTAGGCATACATTGAGAAGAGGAAGCCTGGGAAATTCTGGAAGCTGAGATCCACTCATCTTAAAGTTGCCAAGATTGAAGAACAGTGACATAGATGCTAGACTAAGAGATATGCAAGGTTAGTTTGAGGATTACATTTCTATGCTACATGGACTACTGAGGTACTCTTTTTTGATCTTCTTGAACTCAGAAAATCTATTTGAGTCATTCGGATCTCTGAGCTCTGGAATGTCAGTCTAGATGACCAATGGCAAAACCTACTTTTGCTGCTATAAAAACTAGAAACAATTCACTCATGCCAGCCTCTTCCTCTCATATGGATATATAAATGATTCTGTGTACTTGTTTTTAAACTGAGAAGTTGCATAATTTCTTTTCCATGTTAGACAGTAGCTTCTGGATCTATAGGCTGTACTCATCTCATCACTGCTTCTCCATCAAAGTGTTTTTGTTTGTTTTGTAGACCAAGCCAGTAGCATTTGCTGTGAGGACAAATGTGGGCTATAATCCTTTTCCCAATGATGATGTGCCAGTCCAAGGCATGTCTATTTGTTTTGAACCCAAAGACTTCCTACATATCAAAGAGGTAAGATGTCCAGATGAGGCAGCAGAAATAACACACACGCACACGCACACACACAGTGTATCCTTTTTGAAGAAAGTAGGATTTGATTTTTAGCTATGGGGAGACCCTGAATGATTAGTGGGATTAGTATTTACCAATAAGTAACAAACAGCAACCCAGAATGGCTGTTCTCTCTCTTTTCCACCTCATACATTTTATGTGTTTTATATATTTGCTTTTGTCTTCTCTGCTTCAGAAATATAACAATGATTGGTGGATTGGACGTCTGGTCAAAGAGGGTTGTGAAGTGGGCTTCATCCCAAGCCCGGTCAAACTGGAGAACATGAGGATGCAACAGGAACTAAAGATGAGACAACATCGGCTCAGTTCCAGGTGAGAAAAGGATGAGACTGGATGGAGGAGAAGGAGGAACTACCCTGAAACTCAGTGTTTCGATAGTTGATTTTAAAAGTTTTGTTTTTAGAAAACCTAAATGCTTGGTATTTTATCAGATCAACAAAGATAAATCTGTTGCCTTTCACTGGTTTTTGATTATATCCATACCAACATGTGGCTGAAATTAAAAGTACCCTATCCCTGAATTAAAGGCCAAGGGAAGTTCTAAACCTGAGAACTTTATAAATGTTTTCAACCTGAATGCCTTTTAGCAATTCAGTATGCTGCTCCACTCTACACGTGCACATACAGTAAGAGTCTACAGACGTTTGTTCAAACCCCCCAAATGGATCCTCAGAAAGTACCCTTGTTGCACAGGTCCGGATTCTGAGCTCAGCATGGTAAGAATCAATGGGTAACTGAGTCCAATGGGCACATGTAAAATCAAGGAAAGCCATTCATGAGTTGAATGGGCACACAAGACCCATAACTGGGCACGTTGCTCCAACAACGCTCAAGTCCTCAGGACAGGATTAAGTAGGCAACACTGGTGCAGTCCTTCATCGGAGGTGAGGTTGCCTCCTTGTGAGTAATCTAGCTGACCAACATTGTGCTTGCCTCCTCTCTGCTCTATATGTACATGGATCGGGAGGAGATGTGTACTCCACTACTTTCTCATTGCTAACAGGCAGTAGCTGCTCCCAGTTCTCACCTGGAGCCTCCTGGCCAACCTGCTGCAGCTGTGGCTCGCCTTGCTCACATGACATGTCCGATCGACATAGCTGAGGCTGCTCCATCAGGCTAGCATTCTCAGAGCCCCGATCCTGACTGACACTCAGCTCTGCGCTTTCCTTTGCCAATTCAAACTCACCCTCCTCCTTTGAACTCACATCAAAGAGAGAGTGGGGCAGATCCATGACATTCAGAATTCTAAAATGGAATGATTTTTTGAAGGTATTAAAATGGGGGAATGTTCCTAATGTTTTTCTAGCCGTTCTATTACCTGCTTTTAATCACGTGGGAAAGCACAAGATTGGAAGGGCACTTGGCCTGGTTTAATATAGGGGTGGTTTTTATAATTATAATTGTGGATTATATATACACACAGTCATGATATGTTTTTTTTAAATAATATTTTCAATAACGGCATTTTAGGAAGGGATCAAAAGAGGCAAGAGAGCAATCAGGACACAGTGTAGTCAAATTCCCCCCTTTTTAGAAGCATGCAACATCAATGTATGTAACAAAGGGCAAAATTGTGCTGGTCTAACTGCTTTGTTGCCCCTTTTTTAAACTCTTCTTTTCTGGGCATCCCTGATAACCAATATCTCATTTGTGGGGTGAATCTCATTAAATGTAGTGTTCTTATGAGATTTTCTCACTCTCGAATGAAATTAAACAAGATCTTGCAGCTGAGTCTGCTGAAATCTCATGTGTGGGGCCACCTTTGAAAAATTGTTTCTTTACCCATGTCATTATGCAAAACTGTATAGTAGCACCTGGTGCCTGCAAATGTTGTCAATCACTGCTTTAGAGTACAAGGTTGGTGTCAAATTCATCTTTCCTTCTACCATCAAGTGTTTCAGGAAGCTGCATCTAAAATGAAACTGAAATAAAATTGTCATGTATCTTTAGCTTCATTCATCTTCATTGTACATTGTGGATCTTAAAATCCCTTAGACATTCATTCATCTATTCTATAGCTCATCCATCATATGTGCTGTAATTCCAAGTGGCTCACCACCAAAGTAAAAACAGTAGAAATATCCAGCAATCATAACACGTCTTGAGAGACACTGCAGAATCTTTCACATGATCTCTTAAATACATAGAAAAAATAATCTCTCCTTACATGTGTATAAAAGCAGTTTACATTAGTTTCAAATGTATTTAATTCTCATGACTCCTAATCTTTTAATTAGTGAGTACATTTTCCTGCAAGTCTTTTTTTTAATGAAGAATTTTTAGCAATCTGCAAATTTTAACTCTTAGGGCAGCAATTTTCTTGGAGGCTGAATATGGTTACCAAATGTTTTATATCTATGCTCAAAATATGCCTTAAATTTCATAAAGATATTATCATTTATTATATTTAGAAAGCCACCTGACTTCAGAATACACTTAAAAGATGGAACTAGATGAACTTGTGTTGCAAGTAGTAGTTTTCCAAGGAAAGCCTATCTGGTAACAAAAATAGGCAATTAAATAATGTTATCCTTTACAAAAATTTAAATATAGAAGTTAATTTTCTACTGAGAAAAGTTGCCAAGCTTGGGTCTTATGGTGATTCTCCTATGCCACGGCTGATTTTTTTCCACACTCATCTTTCAATATCTTATTTTAATAGTTTGTTTTTGTCTTTGCAGTAAATCAGGAGACAACTCTACTTCCAGCCTGGGAGATGTGGTAACCGGTCCCAGGAGACCCACCCCACCTGCTAGTGGTAAGGCCTCTCCTTCCCAGAGACAATGGCTGTCACTGTTTTTCTACTTTCATTCTAAAAAGCCAGCACTTCTTCTTCATGAGAATGAGAAAAGTCTGAAGCATCAGGAAGACCTGGCCCTTTATGGGTGAAGTTAGGCATTCAGCCAAATGAGATTCCATGGGTAGTCTATATTCGAATATTCCCCACATTTATCTCTCTCCTTCCACCCAAAAGCCTTTATGCTAGTCAATAACATGCATTTCAAATGTATCCTAGCCTGGCCTACTTTCTAGGATGCTCGGTGTTCTTTTTCTCTCTCTTAACAATAAAAAAAAAATGCATTTGCAAGTAACAAAAAAATTGCAATTGCCCTTGCCTTGTCTGAAATAGTACAGGTCATCCTACCTCTTCAGGACTTCATCCCTATAAATCGTTGCTTATGAGCAGAACCTTCTCAGCTTAAGCCACTGCCAGGGGACAACACATTGTGGAAACTGGAATTTCTACCCATTTTTAATTCCATGCATTCTCTAGATTATTTTATTTTACTTTATTTTTTTCTTTCCTTTTCATTTATTTTACCTCCTGCTATTTTCAGTTTTTCTCAGTTTGGTTATTGTTCTTTGGTGCCTTCTTTTTTCTTTCTTTTTCCCTGACCCCAATACCTTTTCACCTCATCCTTGTATCAGGTACCTTGGAACTGACTAATTTAGCTTATGACCCAGATGCTCTTGATTTAGAGGAGGAGGAAGAGGCAGGAGTCGACGAGAGCCAGCGCACCCCTAAAACTAGCGTTAGCAGTGTCACTACACCTCCCTCTACCACCAAGCGCATCCCCTTCTTTAAGAAGGTAATAGTGCCCCACTTTACTTGCACCTGCTTGCTATGTCCTGATAAGATGCCTGCCTGTGTGTGTATAGGCTGTGTTTGTCAAGTTAAGTCCTTGTGTGACTAGAATAGAGGTGACCAAAGCATATGGGGGAACTTATCTTGTCACTGATCATCCACTGGCAATATTGAGTGTAAGTTATAGGAATGAAAACGGTGATGGCCTTCAATCAGTAAGTGGCATATTAAATGCACAATCTCTTGGAGAGCAAAAAAGCAAAGATTCTGTTCATAACATTTGTAACGTGAATATATATGTCTTATAAGAATGGTATGTTCCAGTGATCACGTGTATTTTTCATGTGTATGAGCTAAAAGATTTATTGGCAGCTAGTTCATACTCACGTGTGAACCATGTTGCAAGATGGATCTAACAGATTATGTGTCCTTTCTCCTGTTCCTCCCTGCTTTACATATTATGAGAATAAAATAATTGAAGGATAAGAAAGGAATATTTCAGTCATCCAATTATTTTCTCAATTCACCCCTCGTATAAATTCTTGAAAATTGAAAATTCAAGATTCCAACCATTTTCTCACTGTGCAAGTGACATGTCCTATTTACTCTTCCATAAGATGACTAAGTTCCCTGTGCTGATTATAGAAGAACATATTCTCCATTTGCTCACCCAAGGAAAATTCCATCAGCAGAATGTCCTAATAGCAAGTGGGTGAAATAATTCTGCAGTTCCGTGTAACATAGATATGGGATTAAAGCACCCTGCTGGTCACAATCATTCCATAATAAGCATGAATATAGAATTGCTGATACTTTTTCCACTCCAGATAAAGAGAAACATTCATAGTGCTGAATGTAGACAAAATACTCGAAAGCACATTCAGCATTAGGAATGTTATTTTATCTGGAGTGGCAAAGCTATTGGAGCATTATATATTCATGAATATTCTGTTCTATACATTCTGTCCTATACACTGAATATTCTGTATAGTTCTACACAAATATTCTCTTCTTTTAATACCTCTGAATATGAAATATGCCTATTCAGATACTTCCTTAGAAAGGGGGAAGAAAATAATCTGGAGCCTAATTACTAAACCAATTCAAGATACAGGGTGGGAAGTATTGGAAGACTAAATTACATGTCATATTAATAGCCCAATGATAATTTGCTATGAAGAAGAGGAAAGGGAGTGCTTAACTCTGTCTAATAGGTGCCTTTCTCCAGAAATATCTTCCAAAGCTTTTGAAATGGAGGTATAAATAGTTTGAATAAGCACTTCCTTGGCAATTTGTCTCTTGGAAGATTCAGTTGCATGTACTATAAAGCTTATCCTGCACCTTTGCCCTATATCAGCTATCTGGCCTTACAGATGATGATGATCCTCTCCCATTGTCAGACTTGAGGTTTAACTTCTAGTTTGTGTGGGTTTTGGAACTGGAGGGAGAGGGATAAAATTTGTTCTTTGCCTTAAGGAGCAAAAGGAATCCTCCATTGCTCTATAGCAGTGATCGCCAACTGGTGGGCCGCGACCCACTGGTGGGCCGTGAGAAAATGTTGATGGTCTGCAGAGAAATCTCACCCCCAGAGCACCCCCCCCCGCCAAAGCAATTAATCCAGGCTGCACAGAAACACAAGGCTGTGCTGCCCACATGGCCCGCGGGAACCCTCCCGGCCCACTCACTCCTTGCCTGGTAAACTTGCCTGCTAAATTGCTATTTTTCCGTCCATCAGCTGTTCTGCTGTGCCAGGAGATTTAGATTAGCTAGGAAGCAGGAAATGGTTGGATTTCTTGCTTTCTAGTTCGTCTTTAAATCTTCGGCTCTGCTTTTAAGCATAGCCGAACCTCCCTTAGGACTGAAGGTTCTACTATTCTGTGCAGACTCACGGCAAGCAAATTTTATGTGACAGACTGAGCTAGCCAAAGGCAGATAGATAGATCACTGAATGATTCTGTGAGCAACTCAATCTGCCTGCCTGCTTTGCCTGATTTTGGGTAAAAATTGTCTTTTTAAAATAAGATATTCAATATTTACATACATGGTGTATTGTGAGTTAATTTTGTGAGTTTGCTTGCTCGCAAATTTTATGTGACAGACTGAACTAGCCGATGGCAGGTAGATAGATCTCTGAATGAATCTGTGATTCATCTGTGAGCAACTCAATCTGCCTGCCTGCTTTGCGTGATTTTGGCTAAAAGTTGCTCTTTTTTTATAAAACATTCAATATTTATATAAATATTTATAATATTTACATACAAGCCATGCCCAGCGAGTGACATGACCACCAAGCCAGACCTACAAATTAGGCCATGCCCACAGAATCAGTTAGTGTTCCCTGGGATTTAAAATTATGAGTTTGGTGGTCCCTGAGGTCCAAAAGGTTGGCGACCCCTGCTCTATAGTACTATGGAGCTGCCATGAGCAAGAGGAGTAGGGAGAAGAGAGCTCAAACTGGATGCTTGATGGAAGATTGTTTACCATACTACTAGTAGGTATGAGGATAAATTTACTGATACTGAAAAACAGCCAGTATCCTGCTTTTCTTGGCCCTAGTTTTTCTCTCTCTTCCCTTCCTGTGCCTACCTATGCTTCTGCAAGTGTGAGCTGTCAGTAACACGCATGCCCTGTTTGTTTTTTCTCTTGCCTGTCCCTTCGCCCATTCCCATATCCCTATCCCTACCCCAACCATTCATCGCGATCACTGGACATAGCCAAGCAGAAGCAAAAATCGGTAAGTAAGCTTATAAAATATCAGCATCAGGTGAAGGTTTCCCAGAAATTTAATTACTGAGATTCTGGGCTCAGTTATGGTCATACGTCAAGGACCATTTGTAATGCATAACATCAAGTGGTTCACAGTCCTTCTGTTATGTCTGCCACCTATTCTTTGAATAGGAGCTGCCAGTCCATGAGGTTCCCAAATTGCACACCATTTCTGTTCTGCTTTCATCCAGGACAAGCAATGGATGGTCCTCAGGACCTGGTGACCATTGAACCCAGAGCTATTTAGTCTTGCTAGGATTGAATTGAAGTCTGTTTTTCCTTATCTAGATTCCAATAGCCTCCAGACACCAAGAACCTCCATAGCATTATTTGGTTGGCCAAGGGTGGACATATGTAGATGTTAAACAGAATGGAGAGGGTGCCAAGCCCTGGGGATCCCCACAAAGTAGAGATTGAGATTGTGAGAATCTGAAAAAACTAATCATGAGCAAACCTAATATTTTATTCTTTCTTCTTCGTCCTCAGACAGAGCATGTCCCACCATATGATGTGGTTCCTTCTATGCGTCCGATCATTCTTGTAGGCCCATCTTTGAAAGGATATGAGGTAGGTATAGAGCATGTGGAGTGGAAAGTGGGATTAATGGTCATGTGGGAAAAATAATAAAGAGGAGTTGAGTTACTTTACCCGGAAGCCGGAAACAATTCCAAAGGGCCATCAGACATCTTTTTCATCTGCCAATTCATCATTCAAATTTGAGGTACATCTCCTGAAAACATTGTATAATATGTAGCCTTCACAAGCTTTGGTGCAGTCCACAGGACAAATTTATATGTTTAATTTATAACAGAACTGGGAAATTATTAGATATAGTCGTTAAACGAAGTGAAATCAAATGTACTCCCAGTCCTATGTTTGCTCACTTTTTGACCTGCGGTTTCATGTAGAACATCAAATGCTGAATACAATATCAACCCCTAAAGAAGTCACTCCAATCCAGCACCCTTCCATGATTTGAGTGAGAGCTGATGCCTCATCTTAGGGCAGCTCATTTCAATTACAACATATCCAAAAGTTTTACACCCAAAGTCTACTAGACAAATTTTTATCAAATGCTGGCATAAACCTTTGTACCCATCTTACTTTGCAAATATACAAACTTTTGGATTCTAACTTCTGTATACCTCTTCTCCCCTTCCCTTTTATCTTCCTAGGTGACAGACATGATGCAGAAAGCCTTATTTGATTTCTTGAAACGCCGATTTGATGGCAGGTGTGAGCAGGAGCCTTGGGGGAAAAAAGAAAGGTCTTGGGGGAAACCTGGAAATCTTATGGCCACATCTATGTGATTTCAGGAAAAAAATCCAAGTAGAGGTCATAAGATACGGGAGGGTTGGTACAGAGTTTCTGCCTTCCAGAATTTCTACAAGTTTTCCTGCATTTTACTGACTACAAAACATTTTTCCCTCTTTCTTCCAGGAGATGAAGGTTAGACAGTTCTTTTTGAAATAAAAATTGAAAGATGTTAGTTGTTTTTTTTTTGTGGTTTGTTAAAAACTCCTTTCCTAATTCATGAAGAGAAACCAGTTTGTTTGGTTTAAGTGGGCTGAGTTTATTAAACGTCCATTGGCAGATATTTAGGTTCCTTTTTCTGGTTCTAGCACCAGAAAAAACACCCTAGTGATCTGGTGGGAATACTTGGCAAATTAAGTTGACTTCCTCAGCTACTCATCCCTCTGTGTCTTCTACAGAATATCCATCACACGCGTGACAGCTGATATCTCTCTGGCTAAGCGCTCAGTCCTCAACAATCCTAGCAAACACACCATCATTGAGCGCTCCAGTACTCGTTCCAGTCTGGGTAAGGTTAAGTTGAGATCCTGAAAGAAAACTTCCAATCTTCGTTTTCTTCTAAAAAATTGTTGTCAGGAATTTTTTTTTTCGGTTGAAATAGTGGGAGGGAAGAGAAGGCTGGTCACATTACACTAACATTTTGCATGGTACGCCTTGTCTAACTCTAATCTGTATCAGTTGAGAATATCTTTTCCTGGATGCTACTTGATTTTTTTCTTTACAAAAAATGTAGTTGTCTCTTTTTTCCCCTCTCCCTGACAGAACCCCTTTGACACAATCCTTGAGCAGGGCATTGGGATGGTCTCTACAACAACATGAATTTATCTATATCCAGGAATGGAAGTGGGCGCACCCTAAAATATGCAGAGCATGGACAATGATATCAGAAGTATTATAGGGTGCACTTTAAATCACATACACTTCTGTGCATGAGGAAGAATGTTCCTTCTCAACCAACAATTGCAAAAGGAGAAAGCAGTTGGGTTTGTCAGCAGCCTTCTCTATTTTAATCCTCCCCATGTTGTGATTTCATCAGACCTGTAGGCATCTTCTGCTGCTTCCCAATGACTTCGACTCACTCTTCTCTTTTTCCCCCCCTTTCCCACAATTTTCCTTTCCTTGTGTCTGCGCATCCTCTTCCTTTCTGTGCTCCTGATACAGATGTCTTGGGTATGTAACCTTTAACTTCACAAGTTCTCCAGTGTTCCTTCCAAGTGCCAATTTAACATGCTTAAGTTCAGCATGGGAAATATGTTTAAAAGAATGGGGCGGGGGGGTGGGTTCAAAACCAGAACAATAAATACGCTTCACTCTTGCTAAAATGTTTAAAACATTGTTTTGGATTTTTAATTGTGTTTGGGAGATGAAAAATGCAGAGTCGTATCAATCTCATTTTTCACTTTCATTCATTTCCTAGGGTCTTAATGAGGCAAACCAAATCCAAAAAATAATGTTGTTTTTTGTTTTCAGTTCATGGCAATCATAAGAAAAGCAACAATGCTTAAATGTTTTGCTTGCAGCCCTATGCATATTTACTTGGGAGAAGACCAGTTAAATTCAGTGGGACTTATCTTTAAATAGATTTAATGCTCTAACACTGTTAGAGAAATTGCTTGGTTGTAAAAGGTTACAGATTCTATATTTAGATTTATTTATTTATCTATTTATTTATTTATTGGATATTTCCTGTATTTGCCATTTCCAATTTTGGTACCCTGCAGGTTTGCAGACTTTGACTCCCAGAATTCTCAGTAATGGTTATGCTGCCTGGAAAATTCTGGGAGTTCCACACAGTTGGACTGTTGAGAAAGACTACCATACCGATGTCATAGCATTTTTACATATTAAATTGAAAACTTACAAGAAAAAATAAACACAAATAGAAATATTTAAAACAAGATCACTATGGACTGCAGATAGCATTTCCACATGGTGTATTTCCCACATTACTGTCCTAATGTGGCATAAACTCCACTAAAAATTATCCTAGAAGCAATGAGGAAGGATTAGATACTTCCTATTAATGCCCTGGGGGGTATCTTCCTGGATTAGGCTTTGTGAATTAAAATTTGGCCTTCTTAGTTATACTTGCTTCTTTTGGCTGGCAGTTATTTTACTTTCCTTTGTTTGAGGGATGGCTTTAAACCAAACTGTTAGTGGATCAGACTGACTGTTGATCATTCAGAAATGAAAAGAATTAATGTTTGTCCTATAAAATTGGCAGATGTGATAAATGTATCTTTTTTTCATAAGCAGCCTCTTATACAATCTCACAATGATGGGCACTACAGCTGCGGTGCCTAAATATATCGGTGAAAATAGTGAGTTGTGGAGTAATTATAACTGATTATATTTCATGCATTGAACAAATGCTACAGAAGGGAACAGTAAAGATATCCCCAAATCTGTTGTTTTCCTTTTCTGTTGATATTATTTCTCAGAATTCCATAACTGGAATGTCCAGTTCTTCAGAAGAAAACAAGGTTGAGAAAGATTGTTCTAGAACGATCACAGGGCAGTTGAATCTTGCTGCTGTATTTTTCCCATGACAGTGTTGACCTTGTCTTCTCCTTTGCTGCTTGCTCTCTGCCTTGGCAGCTGAAGTACAGAGCGAGATAGAGCGCATCTTTGAATTGGCTCGAACATTACAACTGGTTGCCTTGGATGCAGACACCATTAATCATCCAGCTCAACTCTCCAAGACCTCATTAGCACCTATTATTGTCTACATCAAAATATCTTCCCCAAAGGTGAACAAATTCCCTTTTTCTTCCATCTGATTCTACTAACAAATTACCTTCCACCTGGTTTGGGAAAGAAAGGTGGGTGATCATAGAGGGGCTTGGTGCCAAAATAAATTAGAAAATTCTTATGGTACCTCAGTAGGGCATGTGCAGGTGAGAATAGCATATAGGAATGTTTATCCCAGAAGGAATGCATAAGAGATATATAAATATTTTTCTTTCGGAAACTGGTTAATGCTAAATTATAGAGGAGAATGCATAAGTTACATAGAAGCCAGAAATAGTTGAACTGAACCAGTGGGGCACTTACCTTGTACTGTTTTCATTGGCTGCCACTGTTCTCCATGATTTCAGGAAGGAATCTTTTCCAGTCCTTTTGGTGTCAGGGATTGAATTTGTGAACTTTTGCATGAAAATTCTGTGCTGTCTCTAATGAATTACAGCACTTCTTTTGTTGATTGTTATTCCTGCAGAAATGCTGTTCTTAAAGGGAAAGATGTTAAACAGCCTAGAAAATGAAAATATAACATTCCTAAAATGATCTAAAATGCATAAGATATTTTTATAATCTTATTTTCCTACTTTTCATTAGTTATATTTTTCCCTTGTTTTTTCTTTTATATTATTAAAACTACTGGTTTATGCAAAAACCCGTTTCAACAAATTCAGTAAAATTGCATAACTTGCCTTCCTTGGCCTGTGACTATAGGCTGGTCTTTTTGGAAGTACCTGCATGCATGATTCTGATAGTGCTGAGGCTGCTTTTTTAATGAGTTTATTTATTTAAGAAATATGCACATTCATATCTTACTACTGGTTTCCATGGACCTTAATGAATATCTCTATGGTTTAAATTAAAAATAAGAACCACTAATAGCAGAAGAAATGTAAAAAGTAGTTAATTTGCCAATGTTGTTTTCCTTAAGTGCTTATAATTGTAACCTGTCTTTTGTGATGGGAAGATCATAATATAAGTAAGGCTTGGGTGAAATCTTGATCAAGGGGAAAAAACTGAAAAGTGTGCTACGGAAGAGATGGAAGAAAGAGCAGGTCCAGTCCTGGTCCCTGAATGCAGCAAAGACCAAAGAATTTTCCAGTTTTCACCTCAGGCTATTTGTGTTTCATGTTTTCTCTTTTGAAAGACTTGATCTTATTCTGAGCATAGTTTCCTTAAAATTGAGTATGATCATGCATAAGTGGAATTATGCTCTGTTAATGTAAAGACATCACATAGTTCATACAAATTCATTTGTAGCTTCTTTTGTTTGCTTCTTTTCAAACCATTTGCACATAAGGAAATAACTTGTGACACTGGCCCAACTAGTTCAGGAACTCTTCAGGCTCAGAGGAGTTATTTAAAATATCAAGAAGAGACACAATCATTTGTCTCGCGCATGACAAGGCAAATTGCTACTTCATCTCCATAATGTGAAATGTAGTCTTCTTTCTGCGACTATTTACTCTGATGAATAAAGGCTCTGTGTTCAGAGGAATACCTCTTACCTATATATAAGTGTTTATACATTTGCAAGGGTTCCTTCAGGAGAAGGATGCTAGCAAGAGTTCCTTGGAAGTATCTTCCTCTCTTTTAATATTTGGTTTGTTCTGATCCTGTCTTCATTCTTTTGGGCCCTGAGATACCTTTCTCCCATTCTTTCTCCAACAGGTGCTGCAAAGGTTGGTGAAATCTAGAGGTAAATCCCAAGCCAAGCACTTGAATGTGCAAATGGTGGCATCAGACAAGTTGGCACAATGTCCCCCAGTAAGTTCTCTCACTGGGTGCAGCAGCCTAATGGTCAGGACTTCTTCAACTATTTTCTCCCTTCCTTCCATGTTTCCAATCCCAAGTACACCATGCAAATGAAGCATTTAGCCCTCTTCTCACCATCACCAGTTTGCCCTGCCTTATGTTTGTGGTACCAAACTTCACATTTCAGCCTCTGTTGTGATATTTCATTCCTTAGATAAGTTCTGTATCTCTGCCCATGCTTACAAAGTAAGCCAAGTAGGGAAGTTATTATGACTCTTCTGTGCTCAGTATCATGTATAGCCTAGTTTTTACTCCTGGTGATTTCCAAAGATGGTGGCCTACAATTCCTGATACGCTTGGCCAGCCTGCTCATACAGAGGAAAAGCTGACCAAAAACATTTTACCACTAGTAAAAAATAGGAATATATATCTATATCTATATCTATATCTATATCTATATATATCTATCTAT